AGATCAAGGACCTGTCTGTGAAATTAGGAAACTCAAAATGTAAACTTGAAAGATTTGAATCTATCGCAGGTCTTAAGTACATGGCAGTTTGTCACACAATTCTGCCATGGGAACATTTCCTTCACACATGTATTAGTATACAGCACTGATGTATAATATTTCAAGCACATCAGGGTTCTAGATTCCTTAAAGATAATGCCATATAGGCTCTATCAGAGATTCCTAGAAATAATACAAACTGACATCAAACGATTGATTTATTTGTTGAACAGAAAAAAACACATTTAGATAGCTTTTCTGGGGTAAGACACCTTGTTGCATTGAGCCTTGTATTTATTAATTCCCATCCATCACTAATGAAATTAAAAAATATCTAAGCCAGTAAAAAATAAAGCATATGATATCTAAATACAATAAAATGATTTAAAGGTAGATAATACACCAATACTGGAACAAAATAATGGCATGCTAAATTCTGTCACTGATGTATCAAGAATTAAAGCTTAGTAAGATTAAAATCACTTACTGAAGCGTACATGTACAAATACCAAAAAGTAGGTGCACCACAAAAACTAAAACCATCTAAAAAAATTAAAATAATTAAAAAATATACCGTAACTTAGTGCATAAATAATATATTCTTAGAGATTCTTTGCATGTAATTTTGTATGTGTTAATATCATACTGTAGTAGCAAAAAATGTGTTATTAAAAAATGATTACTCTGTACACCTGTAACCAAATCTATATGAAATAATGCTACCGAAACTATAATCACTGCTACCAAATCACCTGACATTGAAATATTAACAAAGATGGATGGGAAAAATACACTGATTAAAGTATATACAAGTGATGTGCAGTTTGTGGATTCTAAAATCCTTGGACTACTTTCATCCCAGTAAACAACAGACAACATAAACAACACCAAATAAAGAGCCAAATAAAGAAGCCGTGGAAGAATTGCGTATTGACATTCTATTGCACAAATAAATTGTTATGAATTTCAAATGACGGAACTGTTCATATTCATTGACTTTTTCAGAAACTTTCTTATTCTAAATATTTGTTCTGACACTCGCGTTTCATCACAATTCTACCCCATCTTATAAAATCAAATATGATAATCCTTCGTGGACCTCATTGTCAAAAACACGAAGTGGATTGAATTACAAACTATAGATGAACATTGTTATAATAAATAATGACAATGCTGTCAGGTACAAATTTACAGGAGATAAAAATTCATTTTCATTGGTTCTATGTGACACTGAAATCGGTAATATACTCAACAAGGAATGTGCATTAGAGGTTTACAGAAAAAAAGAAATAGGTTGATAAGTGAACATGTGTAAAATACTACATATGCTGGCGACAAATAAATAACTAAAAAATCATATACCATATAAGACTGCAGTACATCCTATACCCAGAAAGAACCACTCATTTATCATGGGAGAGTAGTGGTCAGATCAAATCGGGAGGGTCACAATAAAAAGGACATTTTATGGTAAAACAAAGTCCATTTGCAATTTGTCTTTCCAGGAAGGGTCATGAAAATAATGTAGAAGGACGTGGAGATGGTCATCCAAAAATATGACAAGTATTAGGGAAAGGGTAATTATTTTCAGTATGTTAGTGATTACAAGATCTACACCCCCACCCCTGAAATACATCACCAGTTTGTAAGAACACAGTAATTTTGGTTGATTTTACTTCTTCTTTTTTTAACTACAGAGATGGTAAAGAGAAGCATATTTGTCATTTTAAGGATTTTCTTCATTACAGTCTCAATCCTTTCAAAAAGAATCATTTTTATAGATTTGGTCTAAATAAACCTCTACATGCTATGAGGTAAACTCCTAACTGTATTTTATTTTCACATGTTTTGAAACATACCTGTTGATTTTTTTACTCATTTTGTGGTCCTGTCCGCAACATGGAACTTATTTCATAAAATGTCCAGGAGACTTAAAACTCTTACAACACTTTTTATAATTGCTATGAGTGTAGTGTGGTACAATCTGTGGTTGTACAATATATAATTGGTCCTGTTTAAGACCTGCACTTAACTTGAACTACAGACATCATAGTCTGCAGCCTTCATAGGACCCATAGGTGCTCTTATCACTACAGGGGCTGTGGAGTAGCCTAGTAAAGCATTCGCTCAGCATACCAAAAACCTTGGTTTGATTCCCCACATGGGTACAATGTCTACTGTGATATTGCTGGAATACTGCTAAAAGAGGTGTAAAACCAAACTCACTCACTAACTCACTTAGCACTACCTGTAAGCCCAAGAGTGAGTGAGTGATTTACACTGCTATAGCAATATTCAGGTGGCATTGCACCAGAAATGGGCTTCACACTTTGTACCCATGTGGAGAGTCAAACCTTGTAGATTGGCATGATACTAAGCCCAAGAGAGTACATTAAACATGGATTTTCCAAGACCTGCTGATATTCACCCCTACATTTGCAGCAATTTTTGGTCAAATTTCCCAAATACAAATTAATTTTTTTTATCTCAAGCAATTAGTGAGTGAGACTTGTATTCACACTAAAGTACTTTCGGAAATGCTAGAAAAATGCTTTTTGACTTATATTTAAAATTCAGAGGTATTACAGTTACCTAAATAACAAATATCACTTTAAGAAACATCTACCTAATGTAGACCGAGGGAATTAATTTTGAGACATGCCCTAAAATAAGTTTTTACTGATGAAAATACCAAAAACTTAGAAAAATAAGAGGTAGTGGGACGTTATTTGATACAAACATTAACTGCCTGTGTTACGTCACCAGCATGCAGGTATCGACAGGTGAAATTGGCGAGGGGTCATCTCAATAGATGTTTTCTTCAAAATGTTGAATATGAGTGCGTATAGTATACGTATTGGTTATGTAAGGGATCATTTGTGGATGTGTTTTTTGTTGTGAAATAAAAATACGAATTACTGTACATTGGAAAGAATCCTATTACTTGTGTTATCTTATCGATTGATTGTAGAAATGTGCAACGTTTTAATAAATGTTTTGCATGTCAACAGTATATTTCATTGCAAAAATATGGATGTAATTCGGTCAGTTTAATCTAGTTGTGAACATTGGCCAAAGATTTAACGAAGTCACTGGTGTAGCTTCTTTAGAATATATATATTATTCTTCTCCTAAAGTTTGTAGACCGCCCGCTAATACTCCCTTGTCAAAGTTGTCAAGGATGGTTTTAATGTCCCCGGTTTTGCTTTTGAGACGGTCCCTGTCTTGTCTGATTTGTTTACAATATTGTAAAACTTGTTGGTAAGACATACCAACAGCTCTACAAGTTCTGTATTAAACCATTTTTATACTAATGAAAGGTTTACCTCTGTCTTTTTCAAGCACAAAAAACTTATCAACCTTTGCAACAATTGTCTGCAAATAGTTGGCCATAGTGGGCGCTGTGATAAAGATGTGCATGTATGACGGAAACTTATTTATCAAGACTTAACATTTATATTAATATTTCTTCAATAAGAAACGATAATTAAGTAACATAAATTACAATACTCAAAGGAGACCAAATTCTTTGCCCTTTAAAGAGACAATTGTTCATTACTGTCTTGAATGCAATGTCAAAATGTGAGTTTAGAATACCTCTGCAAACATAAGATATTGTACAAAACAAACTAAAAATTGTTCCCAATTTTCCTGCCAATGGTACTGTGTTCTAAATCTAAATTAGTCTGTGTCAAGTACTCCTACAAACTCAGGAATATAATAAAATAAATTGAACCGGTTACAAGTGTATGTATATAGTACAGATAACATCAAAATAAATAACAACATGCAATAAATACATCATATGAGTAATTAATCAATGGAAAAGGACAACATGACAAATGTTTTAAGCAATGTTTTGAAACTTGTTTTGTTTCTGTTCTTGGTCAAATAATCTTTCAATGTAAGGTTATTTAAGAGCTGAATACTTGTGTAGTGAAGCTGATCACATGTATACATTATTTCTATTTCAAATTATGTACACAGTATTTTGTAATGTTTGAATTTTGGACAATATATCAATACTGAAACTTTTCAGAGTAAATTCAGAAAATATTAATTAAAATTTAAAAAATGTTAAAAATGAATATCAAAAAGATATTTTCTTTATTTCTTTTTCTTATGACATTTGACAAAATATGCTGACCATTAGAGTTCAGTGATCAAAAAGGAATAATTGTAGATCACAAATATTCACCCTCCACCATCTTGGAATGGAAATCATCATATGCCAAGATCAAATAATTTTGTTTCATGAAACCATCTCAAATGCTTCCTAAAAGTGAAAATATAAATGTAACATGTAAAAACAATTTGGCTGGGCTGACATTTGTTTTAATGAAAACGATGAACTTAAATTAGGCCCCTTTCTAAAACACACTTAGGAACAGTGTCATTTTTGTGGCGGCAATTTCATTTTTTAAGTCTGACGTCTAATTTCCGGGACTATATAGTTTTCTAAATATAACCTGACCCCATGCCAATATATGAAATGATTGGCCCCTTACAGCATTTAATTCTGTTTTGCATCTTCGGACAAGTTGATAAAATAACTATGTACACAGAGAAATTAAATAGGTCTTGATTAATTGATTAACCATGAAATGTATTTTGATATGACGCGTTTTTGAGCTTTAGAAAAAAAACAATAGCCTGTTAGTCTGCGACAAGGGAATTTTTGAAAAGAATCTTGACTTTATGTTAATTTCTAATGCTGCGTCAGTATGTAAAGTGAATAGTAAACTAAATCATTTCTCCGATTTGAAATCTGACAATAAACTGCAAGGTTAACTTTTCAAATCAGATAACAAGCATATTCTTTTGCCCAATCAGAATCTGCCTTTAAAAGGGTAGTAGAAATATGTGTTCATGAGTAACAAATATCAGATGGACTCAAAATGCAAAATGCACCTGAGGATGAGCTGAACATCTATGGCAATAATAAAATGAGAGCAAAATGCTGATGATGAAGGTAACATTTAATTTAATTATCATATCAACAATCTGGATTTGAATAAATGCATACAAAGTGCTTTTTCTGTAAATAAATATGGCACATTTTTACAAACGTTTTTTCTGGACTGTTGATTTTTAACAAGTGTTTGTAAAGAATACTTAAAATAGACACCATTTATTTGTCTATGAAAACAAGTGCTTTCTCTAGAAACCATATCAACAATGCTGACAAAAATAACTAGACCACCTGTTGAACAGACATCACCGACATAAACATTGCAGCATAGCGGTATTCAACATTGCATCAAATATGGAACATCTTTCTACACTACAACTAAACTTGAGCTTGAGTTAGGTGTATCCTTTTTCAAACAATCTTCACAAATGAATATATGAAAGTCTTATTCGAAAAAGGTACCAATATCTCAAGCTTACTATTACATCTCTGCATGTTTCCATTGCATTTAAACAATTGCATCCAATGAAAAAATGAAACACCATGTGGCTTTTCAATGATGATCTCTGAATATACTGATGGAGAAAGGAACAGAGAAATGTGTTGGTATGTGTTTTGAAGAAGAGCGCAGAACACTTTCAGAGACACATCCTCTTCGGAACACTTTAGGAGACGCATCCCTTACAGAACACTTTCAGAGATACATCCCCTATGGAACACTTTAAGAGACACGTCGCCTACAGAACCCTTTATAAGACACAACCCTTACAGAACACTTTAAGAGACACAGCCCTTATAGAACACTTTCAGAAACACATGGGCTTCAAACATTGTACCCATGTGGGGAATTGAACCCACGTCTTCGGTGTGGTCAGTGAACACTTTTAAAACTACCTTACAAATGTACCATCCCAGATGACGGTGAAATGATTGTTCATATTTGCATTCTCATCATGATTATCTGTTCCATTTGCTATTCCATCAGTGTATTTCAGGTTATATCATATATTTGCATGGTTATGTAACAATCAATAATGAAAGAGTAATAAAATACTTTGACTCAATATGGTACTCATATCAGCTGTAAATCTATTCAGCGAAAACAGCCATTTGTTTCTTGTGGTTTCCATCCAGAGTGTCAAGTATTTTCCATGTACACTTCAAGAGAAAGTAACTCATGACACAGGCAACAATGACTGTCTCATGTCAATCACCTTACAGTTATATTTGGACAACCACATAAAGTTCCCACGTTTCTGTTTTAGAAAAAAACAAAACAAAAGACTTTTATCACTGAATCCAGTATAGCTATATGAAATATCAAATAAAAGATGAACATGATTAAAACTGAGAATAATATTTGAATAAACAAGGATTTTATAAACCCATGCTTGCGTTTCCTTCTTTTGCTTTTTAGAGGATTTTTTGTGATCCTTTTGAAGCAAGACTTGCACTGCCTCAATCTAAGACAATTTACACAATTACAAGATAAATATATCAATCAGTTTACAACAGTGTAAGTACTAATTCTTTGGTTCTGTTAACAGCTGATAAGATTATCGAAAGTCGAAATAGAGACAAACACATTATGAACTTAAGGGACTGTTATTAATTTATGGCTTGGGGGGATGATGATGATTTTATAGAGAAGCATGTACAATGTGAATGACCCCTCTAAAATTTATGTACAAAATAAGTGACACCCCCTTGCAAGTCATGTAAAAAATCAATGACCCCCCTCCCCTTCCCATAATTTCTAAGCATAATTTTAAATATATATTTATGTACAAAATTGCTGACCCCCTTCCCCTAGTATGTGTGTACAAAATTGATGACCCCCCCCAGAGACAAAATGGATGGAACACCCCCACCCCAAAATCATCATCATTCCCCCTAGCCATAAATTATGAACGGTCCCTAAAGAACATGTATTAACAATAATTCATGTTTCGGTCATAACCCGATGTGTTTGTTTCAGGTGGTATGAAAGTCAAACTAATCTTAACGAAAGAATCTAAAAACTGAACCACTATGAACACATCCTGGTGGAGCACTCTGGGAAGCTTGTTAGCATCAATGTGTTACAAACATAGATAACCCTTTCTGACAAAAAATGAAAGTAAAAGTTTGAGGGACCGCTTCAAACTGTTTGTCAGGACAAAAAGGAGGTACAATTGTCACGATAGTTCTTATCATGAAATAACACCAAAGTTAAATTAGTATTTTATATTTCAAACTGTACATATTTTTGGAGACCTTTCTAAAACCTGAACCTTTCCTATATTTCCAAGACCTTCATCTTGCATTACATAAACTGTTCTCTTGGTTCAAAAGGCAAAAAAACCTGTGGGATGAGTATTAAAAGATACGTGTAAAATTAAATCATTAATTCACTTTAAAATTAAAATTAATATGCCATTTTTTGTCGTCAAACATAAAAGTCAGATCAATATATTCTCTGTGACAGTAGAAATGTGAGGGAAACATTCGACAGGTTGCTTTTTATTCAACCTGGTGACCTGTTGGTCTGACCTTTCCACATACTTAATGAGCCTGCCCTGCTGTCAAAGGAAACATTTAATGAAAGCAGAAAAACACTTTCATCCACATAGATAACATCTAACACATTGTATACTTGGGAAAGGTAACTGGATTAACACTCTTTACTATCAAAGATTAAACTTTCATTGCTTTAACTGCAAGCAGTGAAAATAACAAACCCCAAAACTTAATCATTTCTCAAAACATTAACTTCTTGTAAAATGTCGTTTCATTAATGTAAACAATTTTTACACAACTGATTGTCATGTGCTGGAACGAGTCGTGTCTTCCTATCAGTAAGAAGCTATCATTTCAATTCACCATGAACACCATGGTTATTCGTGAATAAAATATTTCCTATTCAACAGCCCTGTAGCTGAATTTGTACAGATTTTTTAAAATATTAAAACCTTAATTTATGATATTATTCTAGTCAGGACACACTGAAGCATATACAGAGTTGCAGTGGAAGAACAGAATGGATGATTAAGGCAGGGATTTTAAATTCAGGGTCATATGTCTGACAGCTAAATTTGCCCATGCACATGATACTGATGATTCTTTGACAACTAAATGTATGGCAATCATATGTAATTCTATCAGAATGATTGTCCAAAACAGACAATCACCCTGTAACCATGGTAACAGAACAGCTCTGGATATACATGGCAAAAGTTCACATGGAAAATTTAATGGAGTCAAACATAATATGATTATCATTGTTGCAAAGGGATTAATGGGTTGTTGGATAAATACACAAATGAATCCTGGTCAGTGATTCACAGTGATGTCTGTGAATCCTATGAATCTTACCACCACCTGGAACCAACATGTCAAAAGCTTGTGATTAGACATACGATTCCACAGTTTCACCACAGACAGATGATACAATAATCATAGTATAACTATATAATAAAACTATACTGATGTCAAACTTGAAAGCCTAAATCTTGTCTACAATCCAACCTGACATAGGGTATGACTCAATATTTCTTACATTCCCCTATCTCATTCTGCTCCTGACCCCAAGTTGGAGGCATTGGGCCCTTTGTATCTATTGCACAACATGCACAAACTTCAGTATAATTAGCAAAAGTTCAATGTATCTTATTCCCAAATGAAACAAAAACAGGTTAAAAAAGCAGCAAGGAAAAGTTACATTTCACATGATTCAAATATATATTTAACAACATGCTGTTTACACAGAGCAATAGACAAGGCAAAGATAATCAATGGAAGAAATTTGTACAAACCTGTAGAGGTTATGAATTCTTTGAAGAAAGTCCTCCTTGGGGTACATATAAGCATTTAAATGTCCATTTTAAATCCTACGACAGTTGTAACAATATTTTAATAAAAATATTTACAAAACAAAAACTCGCTTTTGTCTTGTGAGACCACCCCTACAGGACACTGCAGGGCCCCCTACAGCCAAGTGCATGACACAAGCTGTGAATTAAATATGTTTTTCTCAAGCTAGTGCTAAAGACACATGATCCCATTTTAAACAACATAACATGATATCAACAATATCATCTGAAATTAACCTAGGAAAATGATCATGTGTTGAAATCTAAGATAAAAATACAACAATCAGACACTGAGAGTTGTTAATGTTTCATTATCAGCATGTACCTTTTTATAAACTATGTAATCTTGATCGTCATTGTTACCATGGTAACCTGAACATTCCATGTGGTGAGATTTCTAAAATAATAAGATCTGAATAAGAAAGGTAACACTGTAGTAGATATCTTAAACAGTGCTACAACTGTCGTAAGTGTATGTTGAGTATAAGAATTATGATCATCTTTGTGAGTGAGTGACTATGGTTTGCCGCCACTTTTAGCAATATTCCAGCAATATCACAGCAAGGGACACCAGAAATGGGCTTCACACATTGTACCCATGTGGAGAATCAAACCTGGTTTTCAGCGTGACGAGTGAACGCTTTAACCACTAGGCTACCACATCACCCTGATCACCTTAGACTGACTGACTGACTGAGTTTGGTTTTACGCCGCTTTTAGCAATATTCCAGCAACATCACGGGGGGGACACCAGAAATGGGCTTCACACATTGTACCCATGTGGGATCACCTTAGAGTTAGGATTACTTTGTAGAAGACTAAAGTAAAAATACCACTAAGCAGAACATCAGAACAGTTCACCAAGAAGAAGAACACTTATTTTGGATACATCCTAAATAAGGGTTAATAGCAGTGTATGAAATAAGGCCGTCTGACCGCCCGAGACAGGCTAGATTTCTGACAAATGGTCTAAATTTCCAGCTTGCCAGCACTGGTCTGGTACAAATTTTAGATAAATTCCATACATCTGAGTAAGTTTCTTTGGATTGCCTGGTCTGGTTAAATCCATTGTGGGCTGGTAACATTTTGAAGTTACCAATACCAGCCCCGATGTCTGGCTGGGGTTTTGGCTTATTTCATACACTGTTGATAGGAGTTTGATTAAAAAGGAACATATTATTATTAGGTGACATATCTGAAGAAGAACATCTCTTGAGGCACATCTCCTATGGAACAGTTTTGGAGACACACCCTTTACAGAACAATGCATTAGACACACACCCTACCAAATGCTTTAGAAGACACCTCCCTGACAGAACACTTTTTGAGACACATTCCCTATGAAACACTATAGGAGATATGTGTAATACAGCTTCTTAAAGAAGCATACCATATTTCCTGCTTTAGCTATAGTACAAATCATACCCATTGAGGACAACTGCAAGTCTCATAGTCTCCACACTAGGCTGAATCCATTTATATAGCCATATTGGATTTATTCTTCTTTGTGGATCTTGAAGTCAATCTCCTGCATATGATCATGAATTAAAAACATGCATTTACACATGTATTTGGAAACCACTGATTGTTCACTGCATTTTTAGGTCACAGGTTTGTCTATCATCTGCTGTTGGGAAGTGTCAATTCCACTGATCGAACTTAGCATCCAGTATTACAAACAACTGCTATTGGAATAATGATGAAAAACAACAGGATGCCGATTAGCACGCTGGCATAGACGAACATGATCGCCCGCTTTGCGTCTTTCTGGGCCATTCCGAGAAGGCCCTTTGACTGATGCATCCGTGCACGCTGGGCGTATCGCACAGCAAGGAAACCAGTGATGATGCACAACACACAACTAACGAAGGATGCAATGAGCACCTGCTTGAAGCTTTGCCATGGACGTGGAAGCAAGTCTGAGGATGCAACTCGGCGCAGGTTGGGGTCCGACTCTGTGGTGTCCTTGTATGGGTTTTCCAGATTGTCCTGGAAGATCGGCTCGGTTGTGTATGAGGACATGCCATTTCGGTCTGTGTTGCGGCCATGTTGGATGAGAGACACGGACACGTGGTCACTGTCTGTTGGATCGTGGTGGTTATTTGTGTCTGGGGTTGCATCAGAATCAAAGCCATCCTTGTGGAGAGGTTGTCTCTCATGGTTGTTGGCGTCGTCCCTTCGAGACATCATGAATTCTTGTTAGACTGATTTACTGCAATCTGAAACAAAGACAAGTCTTGTAGAAGAAGATATTTAGGACAAGAGATTTTTTCACTCCTATTAACTGATAATGAACAGTTCTATAGAATAAGTCAATAACTTTACCACTTTAAGAGACTGGTCATTTATCAAAGAGGAGGAATTTTGTGAATTGGGGCGAAATTAAGAAACCCAAAAAACACACGAAATATTGAGCAAGTTGGTTATTCCATGCAAATTTCAGTCATATCAACTTGATTACAGCATGACGTTAGGAAAACCAAAAGAGATGCAGTCCTTTCTTCATGACGGTGATGAAATCAATGATATTGGTTGAACATTTTCATAAGCAGTATTATACAATTACAAATACTCTTTCTACTGAGAAATCATTGAAAAAAGAACAATATTATGCAGATTTTTCGGGAAGTGTGTATTTTTTAATTTATAGGCATGCTAATTGTTTGATCAGCAAGCTACAGGTTGGTTAGTCGAAAGTGAAATGTACAACTTCATGGATGAAAAGAAAAGCTACTTTTAGCTTAATAACAGTGTAAGAATCTACATTGAAACATCGCTCTATGCAATTAATAAGAAGTTGTCATCCATAAAGTTGCATGTTTCATTTACATACATGTTGATTTGGAGAC